CGCCGGCCATCTCCGGGGAAGTCATCTTGCTAGAGAGTGTGTGTCGAGGAACAGCTGGTCTCGCCTGCGCTGCACACAATGCTTTTAACAAACTTGCCTGGATAAATGGTTACACTCCTGTGCAATGTTCCCTCTAAGCTGTGGAGTCCTGTGAGCATTGAGCAAAAGGACTACTTCCTGAGCTACTGGCATTGCGGGGGGGATGGGGGCGGTCAACGGGGGGCACCAGAAGGGATCCTCGCCTAGAGTGCAAAATAAGATGGGGCCTGACAACATGGCTTTCTGTATCTAATTTCATCACGGTATTTGAATTGTATTGGACTGTGTCCTCTGTATTATATTTTTATACATTTGTCTACAATTTGAATTGAGTTGAAAGTTGAGAGCCAGTTTGGTGTAGTGGTTAGGAGTGCAGACTCTAATCTGGGAGAACCAGTTTGACTTGCCATTCCTCCACATGCAGCTGCTGGTGTGACCTTGGGCCAGTCCCAGTTCTCTCAGAGCTGTTTTCCCAAGTCCAGTTCTCTCAGAGCTCTCTCGGGCCCACCTACCTCACAGGGTGTCTGTTGTGGGGAGGGGAAGGGAAAGAAGATTGTAAGCCACTCTGAGACTCCGTTGGGTAGCAAAGGGTGGGGTATAAATCCAATCTCTTCCTCTCTTCTTTTTTGTTGAGCACAGTTTATTGTTCCTTGGCTTATTTCCCCTGTGCTGCTCTTTGGGTTTCTTTGAGCTCAGTTGAGGATGGCAACAGCTAAAAGCAGACCTTGGGGAAATAAAAGCCGCTGTGGGAGGAAGGGGTGTGGGGAGACGGGCCTTCAGCTCGCGTCTTGCTCTCCCGTCCGGGTCAGTGTGACTTCATGCCCCACGGGATTCAAGTGACCTCTTTTCCTTCCTCTCCCCCTCCAGCAATGTCCTCAATGATCAGAAGCCAGGAGAAGAAGATTGAGAAAGCCAAGGAGAAAGAAAGGAAGCTGTCCAAATGAGAGGAGGCGGGGCTGGATCATTCCGATGTTTCTAGATCGCACTCCGTTGAACACGATGCTTTTTTTAAAAAAAAAACCTGTGCCATTCACAGTTGAATAATAAAAGTTGACGTCGTTTTGCAGTCGGCCTCTCGGGGTGCAATAGGTCGGTAGGAAGAGCGAAGCGCAAGCCAGAGCAACAACAAAAAAAATACCCCAAGCAAATCCGAATGAACTCAACATTTATTTATTCATTCCTCGAATTTCTACCCCACCCTCCCTTACCTCCATTATAATAGATCATTCAGTTTGGTGCAGTGGTTAAGTGCGCGGACTCTAATCTGGGAGAAGCGGGTTTGATTCCCCACTCCTCCACTTGAAGCTGCTGGATGACCTTGGGCAAGCCACAGTTCTGGCACGGCTGTTCTTGAAAAAAAGAGCAGTTTCTGTCAGAGCTCTCTCAGTCCCATCTACCTCACAGGGTGTCTGTTGTGGGGAGGGGAAGGGAAAGGAGTTTGTAAGCCGCTCTGAGACTCCCGTGGGTAGTGAAGGGCGGGGTGTAAATCCAATCTCTTCTTCTTCTTCTTTTACCTCACAGGGTGTCTGTGGTGGGGAGGGGGAGGGAAAGGAGTTTGTAAGCCACTCTGAGACTCCTTCGGGTAGTGAAGGGCAGGGTATAAATCCAATCTCTTCTTCTTTTTCTTCTTCTTTTACCTCACAGGGTGTCTGTGGTAGGGAGGGGAGGGGAAAGGAGTTTGTAAGCTGCTCTGAGACACCTTTGGGTAGTGAAGGGCGGGGTATAAATCCAGTCTCTTTTTCTTCTTCTTAGACCCCGCCCATCACTCGGAGTCTCAGAGTGGCTTACAATCTCCTACCCCTCCCCACAACAGGCACCCTGTGAGGCAGGTGGGGCTGAAAGAGCGCTGAGAGAACTTGTGGCTGACCCAATGTCACACCAGCAGCTGCATGTGGCGGAGTGGGGACTCAAACCCAGTTCTCCCAGATTAGAGTCTGCGCTCCTAACCACTACACCAAACTGAAGCAGCCACGCGACGTAGGCCCGGTGGGTAGTGACTGCATGCGCACATTCCCACTGCCGTGTAGAGCCTTTACCTAGAAACACGGTGTACCAATCAGGACAGGACATCAAACAGGGAAAGCACATTCCATGCGCAGTGCCACACGCATTCTTTGCGCACGCAAACACGTCCTAAGGGCCTTAACTGGGCGCTGTCTTGGAAAGGTTGGATTGGCAATCATAAGATAAGGAGCTGCGGTTGAGGCCTGCCAAGATCTCTTTCGTCACTCAGCTCTTTTCCATTTCCAACACAGATCGCTTTTCCTATTGTGCTTTGTTCCAAAGGTAGAGATGTACCTGTTACCTGTTTACAGGGCCGGCTCACTCATTAGGCGAGCTAGACTCTCGCCTAGAGCGCGGGGCCATCATGGGGGCGCCAAAAGCCCCCTCATCCACGCCAAAAGCGCCGCACACCCTGGCCACCGCCGCCTCTCCCCCCCATGACTTTCTGGGTGCATGCTGCTTCAGCGCGCCCCTTTGCTGTTCTTTCCGCCAGGAAATGGGAGCCCAGGGTGGCTGTGGGGAGTTGAGCAGCCGCGAGGTCGCTGCTCCGGGACGTGAGGCCCATGGCAGCTGCAGCATTGCGTGCCCCTGGACCAAGTGGGGAGGGAACAGGTGGACGCGCCGCAACAAGTGGGCAGTGGGCAGCAGAGCCGTGGGAGGGGAGGGGGCTCTCCGAAGGGTCTCATCCCCTCCCCTCCTCGGCTGGAGGATTGCTCTTCCTCAAAAGGAAGGGGGAGGCTCTGGGGTCTGTCGGCCCCCTCCCCTCCTGGCATTCCCACAGGGCCCCTCCCTGAAGTCTCTCCAGCAGGGTCTTGCCAGACTGGCGTCCAGCTGCACCTGGGAAACTGGCAAGCTTTCCAGGGCTTCAGCCTTGGAGAGCCCAAGTGCCCTTCATCAGATCCCAGCCGGGTCGTTTCTTCTCCGGAGCTCTCAGTCTAGGTAGGACACCTCCGGGGGGATGCCACAAAGGCAGCCTTGCCTGGGGGGGCCACGGGCGCCACAAGCTAGCCTCGCCTAGAGCGCAGAAACTCCTCAGGCCGGCCCTGCCTGTTTAGGATGCCTAGCACGGAGGGGAGCTTTACCGAGGTTGCCTTCCAGCGCTGATTCTTCGTCTTGTCCCGTGCAGGGCTTCCTCCCTCCGATGCCCACAGGGTAATAAACTAAATTATCTCTCCCCCCCCCTCCTGCTTCTAAAACTCCCCCATGCCTGTTCTGTACGTGCATCTGCACCTCACGCATCCTGGGACTTTGGTCTCACAGATGGCGGCACAGCTGTTTCATCGGCTCCACCCCAGAGCAAACACTGCCCGCTTTCGAAAGACAGCACTCTGCGTTCAGGTACGGGCACGATTTTTAAAAATGACCGAATCCCCTTCCAAACCGGTTAGTGTGTCTCCTGCTTTGATCTTTTGGATTCAATCCATTGACTTAAGTCAAAATACTTTATATATAAAAAAAATCTTTGTGGCAAAATGAAATCGTGGCGTGCCAAGAGCCGACGGCAAAGCTGATTTTAAGCACAGAGATGATTGAGGCTGGCTGCCAAGGCATGCACAACGCGAGTGTCAGGGAGTGTTTGAGCAGCTTTGTAGAGAGAAAAAGATTGCAAACTGCAAGGTAATTTATTTGGTGTAGTGGTTAGGGGCGCGGACTCTAATCTGGGAGAATGGGGTTGGATTCCCCACTCTTCCACATGCAGCTGCTGGTGTGACCTTGGGTCAGTTACAAGTTCTCTCAGAGCTGTTCTCTCACGAGCAGTTCTGGGAAGAGCTCTCTCAGCCCCACCTACCTCACAGGCAGTGTTCCCTCTAAGCTGAGTTAGTGTGAGCTAGCTTATACTTTTTTAGCCTCCGGCTCACACATTTTTGTCTCAGCTCAGGAAGGATGGCTCCAGAGCAAACTAATTTATGCCGTAGCCAAATGGCTCGCTCATAACTTTAATGCCAGTCGCCCACAAAGTAGAATTTTTGCTCACAAGACTCCACAGCTTAGAGGGAGCATTGCTCACAAGGGTGTCTGTTGTTGGGAGGGGAAGGGAAAGGAGATGGTAAGGCACTTTGAGACTCCTTTGGGTAGTGAAGGGCAGGGTATAAATCCAATCTCCTCTTCTTGATAGGGCGGTAAATGCTTTTCAGGAAGATGACCCCCCTCCCGATGTCTTCACTGCAATCCCTATCATTATAACCAAGGAAGTTATGCTTTTGGGGTTGGGGTAAAGGACTTGTTGAACTAACTGTCTTCATTTCTGGCCCACAGGTAACCTTAAGATTTCCTAGGGCAGTTCATTAGGTACCGTAAATCCTTTTTAGTTACGGTAAACAGTTTCAGTTGAAGGAACAAAATACATATTCTGGTCCACATAACAATGGTTTTCTGTACATGGAAAGGTTGTGACATAGGAGGTGTAATGCAAACTAGCAGTGGAGAGATGATATAGCCTGATCTCATTGTATCTCAGAAGTGAATCAGGGTTGGTACTTGGAAGGGAGTCCACCAAGGAAGACTCTTCAGGGGAAGGCAATGGCAAACCACCTCTGCTTTCTCACTTCCCTTGAACGCCCCTTGGTGGGGTGGCCATAAGTCTTGGATGGGAGACCGCCAAGGAAGACTCCGCAGGGGAAGGCAATGGCAAACCACCTCTGCTTCTCGCTTACCTTGAAAGCCCCTTGGTGGGGCGGCCATAAGTCTTGGATGAGAGACCACCAAGGAAGACTCTGCAGGGGAGGCAATGGCGCAAATCACCTCTGCTTTCTCACTTGCCTTGAAAGCCCCTTGCTGGGGTGGCCATAAGTCTTGGATGAGAGACCACCAAGGAAGACTCCTCTGGGGAAGGCAATGGCAAACCACCTCCACTTCTCACTGGCCTTGAAAGCCCCTTGGTGGGGTGGCCATAAGTCTTGGATGGGAGACCACCAAGGAAGACTCTGCAGAAGACGGCAATGGCCAACCACCTCTGCTTTCTCACTTGCCTGGAAAGCTTGCTGGGGTGGCCATAAGTTGGTTGCCACTTGACAGCGCTTTGCACACAGTAACTTCTCAGTGCATAATGTGCCCCCAAGCTCTAATATGACAGACGAGGCAGAAAAGTTTCTATCCACTCTCTCGACACGAGGCATAATTTTGCAAAACTCCAGCGCATCTTCCCTAAGTCACCATTTTTCTAAACTAAACGCTGCCCCCCCTCCCGGGGTATCTTGCTCCATAGGACTGCGATAATTTGTTTCCCAGCTCTGTTTGCTGAGCTCCCTGAAGGAAGTGCAGTTTATAAAAGTGCAACAGGGCATATATTTTGCAGCTCCAGCTCTTTATAAATAACTTCATAAAAGCTACATACCTACAACATACCCGAAAGATGGTCGTCCAGCCTCCGCTTGAAAACGTCCATCGAAGGAGCATCCACCACCTCCTGAGGCAGTCTGTTCCACTGCTCAACCACTCTGACAGTTAGGAAGTTTCTCCTGATATTTAGCCAGTATCGACTCCCTTGTCATTTCCACCCGTTAGATCTAGTCTTGCAATCCGGAGCAAGAGAGAATAGATCTGCTTCATCTTCTACGTGACAGCCCTTCGAATATTCGAAGACTGCAATCATGTCCCCTCTAAGCCTTCTCTTTCCCAGGCTAAACATACCCAACTCTATCAGCCTTTCCTCGTAAGTCTTGGATTCAAACCCTCTCACCATCCTGGTTGCCCTCTTCTGGACACGCTCGAGCTTGTCAACATCCTTCCTAAAATGTGGCGCCCAAAACTGGACACAGAACTCCAGGTGAGGCCTGACCATAGCAGAATAGACCATAGCCTGACCATAGCAGAATAGAGCCAGATATGCCAAAGGGTTCCGTATCCGGTTGGGTGCAAGTCTCTGCCATGCTCTAGCAGCACCATTTTAAATAAACCACCAACTCCCTCCTCTCTAGTCAAAGTCTTTGGGCACCTGCCAGGGAATGCCAGCAGGGATGGGCGAGTTCCGTTTTAAGAACCCGAAAACAGATCTGCTAGTCTATGTTATTTG